CTCTGTCCCCCTGCCCTCCTGGCATGATCTGCTGGGGCCCCAGGCCCTTCCTCCTCCCGCTGCTCTGCCCCAGCAACCACCTGACGCGCCAACTTATTGCGACAGCCCAATTTTGCGGTCTGTAACGTTACTCTCAAAACCGGCGTCGGAGAGAGTGCAGGGGGGGCGTTCAAACACAGCCGAGTTGTCGTCGCGTCAAAGGGTTGCCGGGCAGCATCCTGTTGGATTCTGCTCAACAGCACAAGCACCTTGTGCGCAGCGGCACAACACACCGCAGCCCAGCACAGCGCGCTGCCAACCGCTTGCAGGCGTGGCAAAGGGAGGGGGAGTCAAAGGCTCATCACGGCGCTCGCAACTATCGGAAAGCATGCACTCGTGATGCCCTCGATCTGCGGCCCGCCGGGCGGGCTCTCGGCATGACAGCGCCACCAGATGCACGCGCACAGGCGCGCGAGGGGCCCGCCGCGGGTCCTGACAGCAGACGAATCACTAGACGCTTGCAAGATATTATGAACCCCAGGGGCCCGCGCGCCCCGCCTCGCGCTCCCGCAGTGACGGCGGCAGGTGGGGGTGCCGCGGGCCCCCATGGGGCCGCGCCGCCGCAGGACTGCGGCGGCGCACGCTTTGTTGCAGAGCGCCGATGGCGCGGCGCTCTTGGGCTCGCATCTCTCGTGGCCGACCCCGCTCGCTTCAGAGCGTGGTCGTCACAACACACACGCACATGCACACACACGCGTGCACACACACACACACTCACACACGCATGCACGTGGCACGCATGCGAGCCTCGAGCACGCACCCTTCCAAGCATATGCCCCCGTCGGCACACCGAGGCCGCTGCGGCCTCGCAAGCACACAAGGGCGAGGGTTATGCAGGAGCCGGGCGCAGCGCGTGTGCCAAGGGCGCTCAGGGCGCGGGTTGACGCAGGCCCGCCGCCGGCAATGCGCGGCATGGGGGCCGTCTGCGGCCCGCGCTCCCCGGGGCCCAAGAGGGCAGTAGAGGAGGGCGCTGGGCCACCCGGCAGCGGCGTTTGGCTCTGTCGCAGTCTGCGAGCGTGCACACCCGCCCAGCAGGGTTTGCCAAACCGAGGCCAAATGCGTTGGCGTGAGAAGGGGTCGGGGGCCACGAAACAAGCGCCTGTAAGGGGGCGCACCAACACAGCGCTCGCATCACGACGGAAGGGCGGGGCAGCGGCGCGCCCAGCAATCGGGCCGCCGCGTGAGGCCGCCGCAAAGACTTGGTACAGATGCCCCGGCGCCGCGCAGAGGGATCACTTGGGAGCGCCGCGGGAGGGCAGAACTCGCTCTGTCTTGTCACATAACCAGGCGGCCGCCGCACGCAAGCTGGCGGGGCAGCTGGGGTTCACTCTCTGCATGACCGGGAACAACTGCCTGCCCATTGCCAGATTTATCATATCGGCAGGCGCTCGGCAGCGCAGAGCTGGCTCAACAGCTCAAGAGAGGCTCTGAAAGGAGAGCGCGGCCCATGCACTGGGCAGAGAGAGGGCCCACGTAAAGGAACGAGTGATGGCTGCAGAATGGAAGGTCAGGAGGTGCCCATACAAAGTTGCAACCAGCCATAATTCAAACTGCGCCCAGCCTAAATTCGAATTGCACACGGCCGTAATGGACCTGCCCAACAGGCCTTAAGGGGCCCGGGTTCAGGGCGGCCCACACCACCATTCACTAGGGCCGCCGCGGTGACCGCCACTGGACAATCCAACCCAGCCCCCTACGGTGGTCGCAGCGTATGCGCCGCGGCCGGGGCGGCACGTGCGGCGCGATCCCCGCCGCCGCCGCCGCCCCCGCACCCCCGAACCCCGCCGCGTCGACCCCGTGCTGCCGCCGCCAGGTCGCGCCGCGCCCGGCCATGCAGCTTCTCGATGGCCCCGCTCCGCGGCGAGGAGGCTCCAGGGTGGCCCAAGCGCCGCCCGCTCTCCTCCCAGGTTTTTGGGGTTCCCGGGCCTAGTTGGCCCTGAACCTCAAGACCCTGAGAACCCAGATCTCCCATGTGAATCACCGGGCGGCCTGCGGCTGCGCCTGCTCCTCCCAGTCGTCCTGCGGGGGGTACCAGCAGCGCGGCTCCACGCCGGTGCGCGCAGCGATGGCCTTCTCCAGGAACCTGGGGCGCGGTGGTGGTGCGTGGGTGGGTGGGTGATAGAGGCGCGGCCGGCTGGGTTGAGGGAGGGGGTGCGTCAGGTGCTGTGGGTCGCAGAGGGTGTCGAGTGCGGGCTGCCAGAGGGAGAGGGAGTGCGCGCAGGGAGCCGTGGTTGCCGTCTGGAGGGTTGGACAAACACGAGCATGCACGCACAAGTTCACCGTCTGGCTCCATCGCTCGCGCGCACACGCACACTCAGACATACGGCCCAAGACATGAACACACACCCATGGTTACACACAGGCAACCGCACATGAAAAACGATCACTCTCTCTCTGTCCCTCTCACACACACAAACTCACAAACACACAGAAACACACACACGCGCGCACACACACACACACACACACACACACGCGCGCGCACACACACACACACACCACACCCGCACCTGAAGACGCCCGAGTTGTCCAGGGGCTCGTTCCACCAGCCGCTGACGATGCAGTAGTTGCCGTCAAAGTTGGGCTTGTGGTGCGCGCCGTGGGCGCGGCGGCCGATAAGAATGCCGGCATCCTGTGGGCACAGCCATGAGCACGAGACAAGAGGCGGCGGCAGCGTCAGTGGTCACTCCAAGGATTTTTCGATTTGTCCAGCTGTTGAGGACACCAAATATGAGGGTACAGCAAGCTTGCACGGAGCAGCAGAGGCGGCGCCGCCGGTGGAGAGGCTTGACGACACCACCCCCTCTCACCTGCAGGGCCACCACCACCCCGGGCAGCTCGCTCTTCTTCATGTGGCTCCACGCATGAAACTGCTGCGACATGCAGGCCTGGGGGGTGGGGGTACGGCCGGGGTCGCGTGGGTTGAGGGAGGATGTGGGCGGAGCAGTGAGGGGAGTGCAAGCCTGCAGCAGACAGCCCTGTGAAAACCCGTGATGTAGCAGGCTACACGCCCGGCTGCGCATCTGCCACGTGCGGGCGACTCACTACAAGCCCTGCACTGTCAACCCCAAACCCTCCACCCTGCTTCAGTTCTCACCAGGAAGATGAAGGATGGCAGGAAGAAGCCGGGGCCGACGGGTAGGAAGGGGCTGACGGCCAGCAGCAGGGCGGCCGGGCCAGTGGCCGGCTGGAAGACCTGCGAGCAGGTGCAATCAGGAGAACCCAGGAGGGCCCGGCTGTGATGATGGCTGCGACGTAGCGGCGCGAGCGCAGGCGGGGCTGCCTCGAGTAACGCTGGCGAATACCCCGGCAGCCAAGAAGCGGCGCCCGCCGCCGCGCTTGAGAGGGGCGTCCGGCGCGCCCGCGCCCCGCGAGGTCGCCGCCGCCCCGCGGGCAGAGCGGCCCCGCAGCAAGCGGCGGCCGCAGCAGGGCAGAGGGGGGGCGAGAGGGGGCGCTCGCCTTGTGCACGTTGTTGCAGAACTCGCGCTGAGTGATGGTCCAGGGCTTCTGGTGGTGCCCCTGGAACGCGGCAATCTGGGAGCCGAAAAACGGCGTCTTGCTGTCCCCGTAGTTGTCGACCCCCCAGTGGTAGAACCCGGTCCCAATGTCGGACAGCACGTAAGCGGCAAACACCGCGCCCGCCGCGGCGAGGGCGTCGCCGCCGGAGCCGACGTGCGACGCGGCGGTCGCGAGGGAAGCTGCCATCAGCGCCATCGGGCCGAAGGTGAAGAGGCGGTGTTCGAAGGTGCTGGTCAGCAGCTCCCCCTCGTCGATGACGCGCTTGCTGGCGCCAGCGGCCACCTGCTGCTGCTGCTGCTGCTGCTCCCGGTGCTGCTGCTGCTGCTGCTGCTGCTCGAGCGCCGCGCTGCCGCTGGTGGAAGCCGCGGGGGCGGCGGCGGCGCGTTCGAGCGCCTCGACCTCGTCCTCCTCCAAAACCGTCATGGCAGCCACCACGGGGCTGGCGGGACGCAGGAAGCCCTGCAAAATCCAATGTTGCGGAATGGGGTGGGTGCGCGTGCGCGTGAGCAGCCGGGCGCGGATCGGGCACAGGCGGCGGCAAGGGAGCGGCTTCGTTGCGTGCCTGAGCCGGTGCGGAACTGTTCTAAGTTGGGCATGCAGGCATGAGGGGGCGTCTGTTGATTGTGGGGTGGACGAGAGACGGCCGAGGGTGTTGGGGCATGCACGCAGCAGCCGTGCAGCCAAGGAGAGGGGCGGCTGCAGTCGCAATCACTGCTGCGATCCGGCACGCCTGCTTGGCAGCAAGCTGAAGGGCGGTGTCATGCGCAAGCCACACGCGCTGCAATGACTCATGCCACTGGGGCGCCGGCAGGGTGAAGTTCACAGTATCCTGATGGCCACCCGATCGGGCGCCTGTGGCTTTCCGTCTGTCACTAAGCATCTGGCTCTGCGTTGCATGCGACTGATGAGCTGCCAAGGGAGTTGTTACAGCTCACTTATTTTTGGCTCGATGTGGGCCCAGGCGACGAGAGGCCGCGGCAAAATTGGGGTGTGGCAAAACTGGTGGAAGCCCGGCAGTGCCGTGGAAGAGCGGCGGGCATTTAGGGGGCTCTCCCTCGCTCTCCAAAAAGGTGCGGCTCTGACGCACGCCGCAAGCGCTCAAGCACGGGCCGCGTCCCGCTGTTTGCGGCTTCTCAAGAGGCGATATGGCAAAACAGGTGCCTCAGGCTGGACAGCGCGGCGGGTGGGTTTGACGCCGGTCGGGGAATTTCTCGTTTGGCCAAACTACAACTCAAATCAGGCGGCTCTGGCCAGCTTAAATCGCGCCAATCATCTTGCTCATCACTGCCAGCACGGATATGATAATGGCAATCCACAGGAAGTAGTTGTTGGACATGGCCTGCGGCCAAGAGCGGCGGATAGGCGGCGGACGGCGGGCTGTCAGGCGGCAGGCAGCGGCTGCGCTGGGGTGGCAGTGACGCTCACTGCACTCATCGCGGGAGCACAAGCCTCCCCTGGCCCTGCCTCTCTAAGTGCCTCAGGGAGCTGCTTGATGGTCTTAAAAGCCAAAAGGCTTACGATTGTTGTACATGCAAGTCAGGGCGGAGGGCAGCCGGCGCAGAGGAGCGCCGCGACAAACAAGTGCAGCAACCACAAGCAAGCGCTCTTGCGCGGTCGCACGCACCGAGTTCTCCGCGCCGCCAAAGCCCACGTACTCCTTCCTGAGCCGCGCCTTCATCTCCTTCGACATGTTGTCCTTCTTGCGAGCGGCCTGCGATCAAGGCATTGAGTGAGTGGCTTTCATGAATGGAGCGTATCCACAGGGGTGGCAAGGCCCAGCAAGACCCCAATGACGCCCGCAACGGCTGAAATTGACACAAAATGCGTATCTTACCGCAACCTTGGCCTCGTCAGCGTAGAGGGGCGCGTTCTCTGTGGTGGTGGGCTTGGTCACCACTGCCTCTTCGTCGCCCTCGCGGAAAGACCGCGTCTCTTTCGCAGCGCATATCCTGGTGCTGAGTTTGCTGCGGGGGGCGCGGGGGCCCGCCAGGAGCTGGACGCGGGCTACGCCGAGTGCAGCCATGAGAGAGGCCGGTGGAGCAACCGGGGTGAGCGAGGTTATAAGTTCGCGTATGTATGAAAAAAATGGGTAAGAAAGTAAATGCTGGGGGGATCGATGAAGTGGTACATGTGGGGTGCAGGGCGAAGCCAGAGGCGCGATGAGCCCATCCGTCAGACGTCTGCCACCCAACCCAAGTTGGCGGTGCTGTTTCAAAGTGGCCGACGCTGCTGAATTGCCAAAAGCCATACTAGAAGAAAATACGGATGCTCTCTTGATAACTCCAAGGCCAAAGACGCTGCTGTGCGCACAGCGCTGACCTATTTTGACCATGGTGCGACAGAGCGAGCTGCAGTAGCAGAAGCAGGATTGCCATTGGTCCAAACGAAAAGACTGGCCCTGCACGTAGCTCTTATGGCGTTCATGCCTTATCTTTGCCACCGACTTGATGTGAGGGTGCATCTACACCAAGCATGCTGGCTGCGCGCGCAACCTAGCCACTGTCTAGGGGGAACGGCAAGGAGGGGTAGGTTGGGGCAGCCATCTGCGGCCGAGTGCGCGTAGTTCTCCCAAGTCCCGGCAGCTGAGGCCAGCTTGCAGAGGTTGAGGAACCCCACAGCCGCTTGCTTAGTGCATAGCCGCGCCGGACATGCGCTGGGCCAAGCTAGCACGCAACATCGCTCGCAGGCGAAACACCGCCACGTCAGTGCGATGCACCTTTGTGTGTAGGTGGCCCAGGCTGTCACGCTGTGTGATGACGGGAGCTGCACCTACGCAGGTTTAGAGCAGGGGAGGGGGGCATAGGTGTTCCAAGAATGTGCGACTATGCTCCACCAAGCCTTGCGTCAGCGTGGGTCCATCATCCACGGGTAGTCAAAACGGCATTGACCCTGCCACTCAATGCGCTGTGACAGCGCCTGTATCCGCAGACAATAATCCAGTGGTGCAAGAAGCTGCAACCTCTTACTCTCAAGTGTACGCGCTGGCCCCTCCATCGCGCCCCCGGCACTCCCTGCCTGGAATCCAGTCACCCACCTCGCAGCGCGAGCAGCGGTGCAAAAACAAGCACGCCGGCCTCCATTTACTTGTGCGGTTCAAGGCGCCTGGTAATCAAGCTAGCAATTAATTTGGCGAAGCACACGGCTTTTGTCTTGGAAAAACGAGCCAGCGATGCGTGCCGGGAGGTCAGCAACAGAGCATCCCGGGAACGCGAGCTAGCCGGGACTGCGTCACAACAACAGGACCTCGGCTGAGGTGAGCGCGTGCGATGGGATCGCGAGGGATCTACCGGCTGATCTGTTCTTCTGGTGGTTTGCTGACCAAGCATCATGCGCGAGTTCCACGCATATAAATTGTGAAAACGGTGCGAGCCCAAGAGGGCTGGAGCGTTGAACTCGAGTCGGTGTGCCTGGTCGCTGGTCCAGCACAGCGTCACAAGGCCCGTAGTTGATGTGTTCCGGGATGCATCAAGTTGAATTGCACGGGACCACACAACCCGCGCGGCCTTGCCGTGCGCCGCCCCCGCCCGCTTGCGCGCACGACAGGGACGCTTGCGTGCAACAACAGGGCTCGCTGCCCGCCATGGCCGCGCCCGTGGCCCCAGCGGCGCAGCCGACCTTCAACTGGATCGGCAATGGCACTCCAGAGGACAACGGCTGCATTTACTTCGACTCGTTCCAATTTTGCAACACAAAGTAAGGATGCGCCGCCACCAGCTGGCCGATGGGGGCGTTCAAACCAGCGGGCGCCCCTCAGGACGGCGCCACCTGTGCAGCAGCAACGCACCAACACCCCTGCGGCGCCGGCATTGCCACGCCCCAGCAGCGGCCGCCCCGCCCAGCAGACATGTCACGTCCACGCGCTTGCACGCATCGCCTGGTGATGGCCGTTGCCGCCCTGCCGCCCTGCCGACGGCACCCCCCACACACAGACACGCACACATACGCGCGCGCGCACACACACACACACACACACACACACAAACACACACACACGCACACACACGGGCAAACGGGCAAACGCCTTTCCTTCCAATGTCCCCCCCCCCCAAAAGGTACACTGTGGGCGAGCACGTTTTCCTGCTGCCCGAGGATGAGGCGTCGCCGCTCTACGTCGCGCGCATCGTGCGCGCGTTCGAGGACCCCCGCGCCCCCGACTCTGACCGCCTCTGTATCGAGGTGCGCGCCCCTGCCGCCGCCCGCGCACCCCTCACATGCGCGCGCCGGGCGGCGCGGCGGCGAGCGCGCTCGCGGGCCGTGGGCACTCTGCCTCGAGCGGCCGAGGCGCGCGCATGTCGCAATGTGCGGCCCGCTTTACCAAATCGGTATTCTCTTGTCGCAGGTGCGGTGGTACGAGCGCAAGGCCAACATGCCAGCGGCGTTCCAGGCCAACATGCACGACAGGGAGCTCGTGGAATCCCTGCAGGTGTTGGGCCGCACAATGCTGTTTTGGGGATGGGGGGTGGGGGTGGGGCTGGGGGTGGTGGGAGAGGGGTGGCCCGTG